ATGAAGCAGAGGAGTGCCATTTGCACTCAACATTTATTTATTTTTAAATATTCTGTTGAGAGGGTTTGCTTCATGTACTCACGACGGACTAACCGTTACACCATTGCTTTGAAATGCACTAGAATATATCTTCAGTAGGAAAATGATGTTCTCCGAGATAAATTTTTCAACAAGAATGCTGCCGGCATATTTTAAGGTATTTTATTGTAGAGCTTTTTTCCTTGGTAGGTAACACGCTAACACTATTCCATTTTTCCAAATATCTGGCAACTCTATTCGAAATATATCTCCTTAATTTTTCATAAATATAGGGCAACTCAATTTTTCATGTATAAATAATATTTTATTTTAATAAATATATGGGAGGTCTATTCTATGTACCCTGTTAAATACTAATGAGATTTTCTGAATTCGGGACAACACCATTGTAGGCATTATATAAAGTACTCTTAAATGTTGCCGCATATGCGGTAACTCTATTAAAGGTACCCTATAAAATCCATTACATTTCTGTAAACCTTCCTCAACTCTATTCTGGGTTTCCTGTAGAAGGCTTATTTGTTTTCATAGGAATGTGGCAACCCTATTTTTTTATACACTTAAATCATGATTATTTCTTCTAAGTATGTGTTGAGTAGTATTTAATTTTGCTAACAGTATGGAAACTCTATTCTAGGTACTTTGAAAAAAAAGCTGTTTAATTTTTCGAAATATTTGGCAACTCTATTTTGGTTATCCTCTAAATTGCTGTTTAGTTTTGAATATGTGGCCACTCTTTTTGGTTATCCTGTGAAATTCTCCTTAATTTTTCTGAATATGTGGATAGACATTTTAATATCTCAAATTCTTTAAATTCTTATCCATATTGCGGTCTTCGAAAAAAATTTAGTTTTTGATACATTTTGAAATTTTATGAAGTTAACAAGTCCTTTACAGTAGTGAGAATGTACTCAAATCCTTTTTCGACGCGTTCACCCTGTTTTATATGTTTTCAGTAGTTGGCAACTCTATTCGTACATCACTTTAACCACAAAATTTTTCAACGAACTTTAGCTTAGTATCAAAATGAAAATACATATTTCACGTTAAAAAACTTATGAATAGTTTCTAAAATTTTCAAAGAATGGCAACCCTATCGAAGTGATAAAAGTATGCTGGTCTATTTTTTTTATGTGTGCCATTTCTTAAATAGACTGACAGATAGGCACGTACTTTTTAATAAGCGCGTTTATTATATTTCACTTTTTGAAAAGGTGGCAACCCTTTTTGGATAAATTTTTTATATTTGAAGAAAAGGTCCAAAAAAAATTACAATTAATTCAAAAACTTAAATATTTGATCTGAACCAAATTACAGAATATTTTAGTGAATTTAAGCAGATGGCAACTCTGTCAAAAATATGAATATTTATTTTAGTGGCTTTCTTAAAGTTTTCTTTTGGGTAGATAAGATATATACATATGTTCATTTTTAATTTTTTAACGAGTGGCAACTCTTTTTATTGTAGTTTAAATATTTTGTTAAATTTTCCGCTGTTGTTGGATCTAAAACTTAAATCTGTGCTGTGTACTAAAGTTCAGGACTTACTTAAAAAAAGTAAAAAAAAAATTTAGAAAGGTGGCAACTTTGTGAAATTTTATTTTTTTAAATTTCGATTTAACATAGGTACCGTTAGATTAAAATATAGAAGTAGTTTTAATATATTTTATTTTTCAGACATTGGCAACTCTTCTAAAAAGAGCCAAACTTCCGGAGAATCTTCTCCGCAGTTTTATGAAATTTTACTAAATAATTGAAGACAATTTGAGTTTGAACTCGGAAGCTTAAATACATACTCTTACTCATTCATTTATTCATACTTTTTATGTACTCGATTGTTCACATGTACATATGTATGTATAGAGATGCTTTCTTAAAGCAAATGAACCAAACCGCTTTGTGGTTACGCATATTTTTATATTTTCTATATAAAAATAATATCCTGTGAGACCTAACTGCACTTTAGTAAGAGAGTCACGTGCAACAGCGCAGTGACCACAAGGGCCACTAGCGTAAAGACACAATTTCTCTTGCTGCATAGAACTATTAAGGTCAAAAAATACATACTTAAATACAGATGTATACACACATACTCCAAAATGTCTAAAATCTTAAGTTTTATCAACTAAACATCAGCAACGGGAAAGCTACTTTTGTACTTCAACTAACAATTTGATACGCTTGTAATCCCTTTCGTATAGGTTTCGTCTGAATTTGGGGTAACACTATAATGATGACCACAATATGAATTGTAACCACTCAGACAATTCGTGTGCGAGCTCAAATTCGGCTTACATATGCACACAATTTCCTTACAAACTAGCAATCCAGTTCGTTAGTATAGTTGTATGATTGGAAGTTTGTTTGGAAATATGTTTGAATGTACGCCAGTGCCCACATTGTATCGAAACAAGCTAGATTAGTTGGTTGAACAACTCTTATGCGCCAATAGAGCTGAACAAGAAGTAGCAATCACTTAAACAAGCCAAAGTAGCCAAAGTGTACACTTCAGAAATTGGCTAACAGGGTTATATGTATGTATATATAGAGACAATTCGTACATATATACTTCCCAGAAGCCATGCATATGATGTGCAATGTGATGATCTATTATGTACAACTGTGTTGATATGAAGCAGTCGGACGACACCCACTTGAACCATCGCATTAGTAATGCTCTTCTGGCAATCTGTTGATTTCTCTAACTTTTGATGTCCTTCAGTTATTATAAGGACTGTTGTTCTTCGCTCTACAACAGCTTTGGCTGATAAAGGTTGGGAGGAAGCCTCAAGCTAATTACATATATACAAAGAGCTCCTCATGTTTGTTAAGCCAATAGAAATTCTCAATACTAAATATTGTGATAAAACGATCTTGTCCTATTTACGGGGAAATACAAAGTACCGTCATGGGCCGAACTAAAGTCATACTTGACTACTTTATAGCAGAAACTAAATACCAAGTCCTTGGGAAATGCATCGGATAGCAAGTTGTTGCAGAAGTTTAATGTGGGGCGCGTGGTAATGAAGGCATCATTGGCCCTTTATAAATATAAAGGGATGTTAATATACACTTGTGGCCTGCCAGCTTACTCCTAGACTAGAACTTCGTTGCAATTGGGACGCCAATACGTTTCTGTGGGCCTATAATGTGGTCAAATGTTTGGAAAGAGTCTGAAGAATCAATGCGACATGCGGTTTTGAATATTCCAGCCGTAAGTCTAATAACTAAAAACAGGACATTCATAACTGCGACGAGGCTACACGCCTCAAATCAGTTGAAAGTTGAGCATATGGTACAGCTGTTCAGAGACAAGGTAAATAGACTGCATTATCCGGCGCTTGGCTTTCGATAAACAGCTGACACCTACAATAATGCAAAGGACTTAAGTTTGCAGACAGACCTCTGCAGATCTTAAGAGATGTTTCAAAAATGAGTTGAAGTATGGGGGATCATTCAAGCTGCCTAGCTATTTCCGTATATTTCAAGCCGAGATATTAACAATGAAAATGACGGCAGAGCTAATGAAGGGCAAGCCCTCAAATAGACAGCCAAGAAGCCATCAAGGTCTTATACACACTTTGCAAAGCGACATTCTAAATATTGACAAAGAAAATAAAAATCCAAATTTACTGAGAACCAGCTCATATGGGTGTCGCAATATTGCGAAAAATTGTACGCAAAACACAAGGCGCAAAGCCTACTAAGTTTCTACTATCTAAGTAAGACTCCAAGATGCGAGTAGAGTTATTGACAGAACACCGCCTGTTCAACACAAAAAAATGCAGAAAATGTAAGGATGGCATAAGGACAGTACAGCATATTATCTGTGAATGTCCAGCCTTCTGTAAGCAGATGGCGATCTAACAAAAATTCAAGATCTTTAGTAGGCAGCGGTTAAAGACCCGAAGTGCCTTCTTCAATTTTCTTACAGAGCAGCAAAATTTTTTGGCTCAGGAAAACACACAGCAGGAAGTATATTAAGACAAAAAATCCTTCAGAAAGAAAAAAAGGATTGCCATTTTATCCACGCATTAATTTAAAGCAAGAAAAATTCAAAAGAGATTCCAACATAAAGGAAAAATGTTGCCTACAATTAGGCGTGGATATGTATTTCTTAGCGAAGCTTCACACCTCAAAAATTCATATATATTTTTTATAGGAGGGGGGAAAATTTTATCTATATAAAGTTAGTGATTCGGCATTAACTAAACCAGAGTTAATTCAAAAGTGTAAAGGAATTTTTCGGTTTTCTTTTCATTAAAAGAAAAAATCAAAAGAATGCGAAAGTATTGTAGTTTTCCAATATTTTAGAAATTTGAGCCGCTTCCATGTAATGTGAAAGGTATTTCCTACGCGTTCGCCTATAAAAGCATGCCAATGTCAATCCAATCAAAGGCTCATATAACAAATACCGTTGTAGACAATGGAATACCAGCACGTTAGAGGCAAACACACTCATACATACGTGCAGTTCAAGTCAAACTGGGCCACCATGTGATTGTATAAACAAGAATAGTTAGTTACTTTAGTGGCATACTCGTATATGTAGCAAGGGGAGAGAAGAGGAGCGAAAACATTTCTATGGAGTTCAGTCACGTTTCCTTAGCAAATGTAAACTTTCAGCGGAACTGAGCCGAAGTTATGCAGCTGCAGAGTATCAATACAGAATGACTTTTCTTTACCTTTTTCTTGAGGGTATTTTAACTTATGGAGCTACCGTTAAGAAGCACACACATACACACAAAGGCACACATGCACTTTATATTCATAGCTCGTTTGTTGCACTTACACATACATTCCACATGGCATTGTCCAAATGCCACTTGCATTCCTTTACCTTCATATCCAGTTATACTTCTTTCTTTTTCTTGTACGTATATATTTTCTTACTCGTCTGTTTGTGTGAAATTCTCTTTGCACTTTTCTTTTTTCACTCTTCCATATCTTTGCCTTTGTAGGTTACCAAATGGTCACATCAATATTATGGCCTTCGATCGAATGGCGGCCATTGTTGGTGCATTTACCAAGCACATGCATGCCGTTAAGTCGCCGCATGAAGCGCAGCCACCTGGTGAATATAAGACATTCTGCCTGCACATGCAACACTCATCGAAATTGAGCGAAACGGGTAAGTCTGTTGAAAGAGCTTATGGGCTTACATATCAGTGTATGTGTGAATGTGTCAGTGTGTGGCACATCACGGAAATGGTCAGTCAAGATACAGAAATTTTATTAAATCTAACAAGAATTGCAAACATGCAGAATACAAGAATTTCTAACTTGAGATAACTTAATTTTGAAAGTTAATGGAAAGACTCCAACCTTAATCAGATTGATAAAATGTTATTCCTAAACTTTATTTTATTTAATAAAAGAACTGATATTAAAATCGAAATGCAAAAAATGACATAGAATAAAAGGCATAAAATCAAATTAATATTAAAATAAATAAATTCAGTTACTAAAATTAAAATAATACAAAGTCTACTACAAAACAAGTAAAATAAATTAAATATGAAATAAAAAAATTAAATTAAAAAAATGTATATAAAAACTTTCATTTATTTACTTAAAAATTATATTAAATAAAGTTAACTGGAATAAAATAAAATAAAATAATATAAAATAAAATAAAATAAAATAAAATAAAATAAAATAAAATAAAATAAAATAAAATAAAATAAAATAAAATAAAATAAAATAAAATAAAATGAAATAAAATAAAATAAAATAAAGAAAATCAAATATAATAAAAATTAATTTCAATTAAATTCAACAAAATTAAAAAAATTAAGCGAAGTTAAATAAAATAAAATTAAGTAAAATAAAATCAAATTAAATAAAATACAAAAAAATTAAATGATATAAAATAACAAAATAATAAAAATTAAATTAAATTAAATTAAATTCAACAAACTAAAGAAATTAACTAAATTTAAAAAAAATTAATTAATTTAGATTAAATAAAATTAAATTAAGTGAAATAAAATCAAATCAAATAACACATAAAAAAAAATTAAGTTACATGAAAGAATATTAATAATAGAACAAAACGCAATCAAGAAATATTTAAATAAAAATATTAAATGAGAAGAATTAGATATGAAAATTAAAATTAAAAAAAATAAATTAAATTAAACAAAATAACAATATTTTAATTTAGAAAGTTGATAAATAAAATGTTAGGTCATTAAATATGTTAGGATAGAATAAAATGAATTGAGAAAATTTAAGCAAAAAAGTGAAAAAGTTAATTGTCTTGAAATATACTAAGCTCATCTTAAATTAGATATATCAGAATAAAGCAAACTGTTTTCAAAAACAGAAATTAATTTGTCTAATATTTGTTTATAATAAGCCAAAAACTCGACTGTTATCGTCATCTCAATTAAGCCTGTTTTGAACTACTAGGAACTATAGGCTAGGAACACTCTACCTCTTTAAAGTGCCCGCAGTCATCAGCGTAGAGGTTAAAAAATTAAAACCCAAAGCACACTTAATGGAGTGTATGGTGTTTAAAATACCGCTTTAAGCCATTTACTTACTCATTGACCGAACTAAACAGAACAACAACTCAACCGAACTGAACGATGCTGAGCTGGCCAAGTATTAAACGCAATGAAGCAGCTAAGCAATCAAGCGGCAAATAAACCTACTTATCGACACGTAGCATCATAGAAACACATAGACAAGCACGCATACATACATAGATGAGCGCCCTCCTATGGCACAAAGGCAACAAAAGCAGTGATTTACAAGGCTACGTAGGGGAGAATGGGTTAAAGCGAACGTGTTGATAGTCAGTCAGCCGGCAAACCAAGCAACTAAACCTATACACACGCACTCACTGTAATATACAACAACAAATTGACCTCTGCTAAAATTCCTGAATATAAAAAAACCTTTTGCCAATAACCACAGACGACTGGAGTCTAATGGTTGTGGAAATTTTTCTTTTTTTTTCCTTTTTTCAAGTGGTATGAGTGCTTAGAAAATTTTAATTGGTTCAAGCAGGAAAAGACTGACTAAAGGATTTGATGTAATTGAGTGTGGTTGTGGGAAATTTTTAACAGCATTAAACAAATTTTTTATCCCTTCGGCAATAATAGTTTTAGATAAGTGAAAAGAGTTATTTGGTTAAGCGAGCAATGTTACCAGGTTTCCTTATGTAGAGTGTTTCCTGGTACCTTGGGTAGTGCCAAATATTTTTTTTTGTGAAAGAATATGTTTTAATTAAACTAGTGTTTTTAATTTTTTGTCTTTAAATTAATCTAAGCAACGGTGTGGTAGCAAATTTTACTTATTTAATGAGAAATAGCCTTGCACGAATTTCGCTGCTGCATGGTGTAGAATTCTTATTTTTTTTACTTTATTTGCTCCTCCAGTGATAGCAGCTGTGCATGTGTGAAGCTCAATGGAAAACTTTAATTGAATTAACCGAATTTGTAAACCAAAGTTTTAAATCAATTTCAGTGCAAGAAGAAAAGTGAATGTGAATCACCAAAAGGAAAAATAAATATTTTTTGTTTCTATTTTAACACTTTTTTGCTATTTCTCAGTAGAGAAATAAAAGAATAAATTTAATTATCTGCTTTTGAAAACTTTTGAATTGGTAATAATTAAAAAAATTGAAAGAAATTTACCATTTGAAGGATTCAATCTATGAACTATTCAAGACTTTAATTTAAAGCTAAATTTAAACTTGTAGATATAATTTTATAAACGTCTTAAGAATTGCCACTGCTTAAAGGTGTAACTTAAGGAAATAAGACTTCACTGGTGGCGCCTAAAATTATGTGATTAATTAACAAATTTTATCGAGTTCTGTCCATTGTTTTCAACTCAATTCAACCAATAATTCAGTTAATCATTAACAAATCTTACAGACTAGAAGTACAAATTATTTAAAAACTTGAATCAAAGTGTCAGTACTAAGAATAAAAAAAATTAAAATTAGAGCCAAAACAAGATTCCGGGAATACGAAGTCAACATCAAGGTTTCTAGAGATTTAGCTGAATTCGTTATTATAATAATTGGCTTTAATTACATCTAAATAGTAAAAAGTAAAAACGAGGTCACTAGCGGAACCCCTAAAAGTATGTGAATAAAAATTCTAAGCAACCCTGTTTCCAGAAAGCAAAAGCATGCAATAAAAATGCTACTCCGCGATTCTGGAAATCCCCAAACTGATCATAAAGTGTGTTTTTAGACTTGCAGTTTCAATGAGACAAAATTTTTTTCGGAGTTGGTATTTTTTGCAGCTTTTGCTTGATTCAAACTCAGTCTGGTTTGCCATTTTATAATAAAATGAATAGCAAATCTCGCTTTGTAAGAAATATTTGGTTGGCATAATCGTCAAGCAGAGTCGGTAATCGGAACAATCATGGATCGGCCTCGCATAAGGTTCACTCTAGTGGGTAATGCGCTTCCAAAGAGACGACGTACTATGCACACCGGAGATACTATTACTGCTGTGGAGCAGAGTATCGAGGAAAACCCGAAAGAGTTTCAATTTCAACACGTTATGGAAGATTTTCTGGAAGCATCTTTGTATGTCGGCTTACAAAATCCGACCCGTGCAAGAGTTGAAGCTGGACCCACATCAAGCGCGTTGAATGAACAAGAAAATTTTGAAGCTCCCTTTTGATCAAGAGGGCACGTTAATAGAGATAATTATAGCATTTAGAGTGAAGATAAACCACTGTTGAGACACCGTTACATCCTCATTGCTTCATATTTCTTCAAAATGGAGACGGCGATATGGACGACCTTTGGTTTCAAGAAGAGAAAAAGTATGCCTTGGAGACAATGAAAAATTGTTTTAATGCAGAAAACTTTTGGTGAGTGCATTATCACGCGTTGTGGCCTTTTTGGTGTGGCATCTAAAAACGTGCGATCAACACTGCTGGACAATCTTTTGTAGTTGCTTGTATGTGAAGTTGCTTGTCTACACCGGACACAACCGAAGCATTGGAGGTGAATATTCGGCACATTATTGCTGGCATACGGCTCAAATTGCTGCAAAAAGTATAGTGAGCCTCTCGATTAGAATTTACTTGAACCAGCTAAGGGCGATCACTTGCCCGAAATCCTTTTTGAAGCGAATTGGCAAACGCTTATCTTTATCATAACGCCAAATTCTTCGCTATAACACTGAAATATATGTTTTTAATTTTCCTCGAAAACCAAATGTCCAATTAAAACACCCTTTATATATGTTGTTCAATAAAGTTATTACCTCGCCACAATTAGATGAGAAATAAAGTCCGAAAAGACGACATCGCATGGCGTTAAAGAAATTTACATTGCAAAAAGTAAAATAAAGTAAAATAAAATAAAATAAAACGTAAACAAAAACACCGTAAAAAATGCACAAAAGTGCGAATAACAACTTAAATGCGTTTTTCGTTGAAAAATACTACTAAAAAAAATTTAAATGTATATATATATATATATAAATTCAGAGATAAGCAAGTAGGAACAACCACAACAGCAGCAGCCAAACTCACCCGAAACCAACCAACAACAAATAAAGCTGTTGCTTTTACCAACTAAAAACGGCTGTTGCATAAAAGCAAACACAGCAACATCGACAACAAGTGTTGCTGAAAGTATTTTTGACTTGGTTTTTGTCATTGGCTTTGTATATATTTCCAGTTTGCTATATATGTACGAGTATACGCTATATAAAGCGCACCACATTTAAATCTGTTATAATTTAACGCAAAAATTAAATGGCAAGAACCGCAAGGATAACGACAACACTAACTTAAAAACACATTCATACCAACACACAAACAATATGTCAATACCTACATATACACTAACAAGAACAGCTCTACTGCTGGGCAAAAGCCATAATGACCATAATAATAATCGTTGCGTATGTGTGTGTGTATGTATATATGTACGAGTATGTATGGGTGTGTATATACATTTGAGTGAATATAAATATGTACGTGTTTACAAAATGGATTTCATAATATTATATGTATGCGTGCGACTCCTTGCGGCTAGTAAAAGTAGTTTATTCGCATCATTTAGATAATCTTCCGCATTTGTTGTTGTTGTGTTTTTTTAAATTATCCTTGTGAGTATGCTCATCGTCAGCTTATATGTATTCAAGCTGCTAATATGTCAATTCAAGTTTAAATTGAGACAAGTTCACGAGGGGAAACACTTTTTTCTATTAAATTCTTTCTTTGAGGCGTATTTTTCTAAAATTGGTTTCAAAATCAGGTAGTGAAGCTGCTAAAAGACGGCTTTCCTTGCCTAACCCACGGCGATCCTATTAGTTTTTTGCACGTAGGGACACCAAATGAATTTCAATATCAAATTAATGTTGGTGGAAATTTTTGCTGCTTTTAACCCTAAACTACTGAACAG